TGCGGCCAGTCACGTGACTGAATTCGGCGAATAGCGGCGCCGCGCCCGCCGTTGCGCATGGAAAACAGGAAAGGAGGCAAAAGCAGGGGAACATATGCCGGGACGCGCGCGACGTCTACTTTCCTGCGCGGCGCAGGATTCTTTGCTCATCACGTGATCGATCTCGACGAATAGCGGCGCGGCGGTACGTGAAAAACAGGCGCTCAACTCTGGCTCCCGGAGTATCAGGAACTCCAGTGCCGACGGAACGAAACCAACTGGTGAGACAGTCATTATAGTCGTTGTGCCACGTACGGGTAAACATCACGAAGCTTATTTCGGTAACCAATAGACAACTACAAACATCTACGATAATGTAAGCCATATAAAGTCCTCATATCCAGGCTAATAGGCAATAAAATGTGTGTACATTCGTTTGTTAAGAAAAATAAAATTGCTCAGCTGTTGCTATATATAATATACTCGGTAAGCACGTTTTCCTTTTTTTTCTTGTTTTTTTTTTTTTAGTCTAGACTTTCCACAGATAGTTACGAAAGGTCTAAATCTGGAACGCTCGTGTTGGGCCACTACTCACATGTTCACTAACAAGGTGATGTCGTACCTAGAATATAGGGGCGTATAAAAAAAATGTGTGCGTGTGTGGGGGGAGTGATTGCATGCCGGAGTTTGCTCAGGGTGATTGATGTGTGGGGCCGGCGGGCCGGCCCTGCAGGGTTGTATTCACTTTTCTTTTTTTATTTGCGCGGCGGGTGACAGCAGAATTGTGCCCGGCTGGTCTCTTTATTGGGTGTAACATTTTACATTGACTTGCACATCAAAATCCGCGCATTTACGCCTAATATTTCCGAAATGAGGCGATTTTCAACCGTGTTGGCACTGCAACTGGATGTTTGGTACTCCCCAGTTTACGGAGGAGACGACGTGGTGGAATTAAATGAGAGAGGGCATTTCCTTCTCTGCCCTTTTTAGTGTAGAGGAATGTTTGAGCCATAAAGCACGAGGTCAGGAAATTATTTCGTGCTCCGATGTATACGTGTGCCACATGGGCGCTAGATTACATTAACCATATCTGTAAATGCTCAACCGTTTATGGTGTAAGAGATTCGGTCATGCACTAAACTGCATGAGTAAAACGCAAAATATTGCGGATGGGGCGTTGGCGCTGTGTACGTGTGCACTCGTGTACATAGTGTACTCGTGTTAATTGTTTCTCAAATTGTTTTGGCACCGAGTACCTAGAACAGTATGAAAGCAGCGTGCATTTTTGTTCTAAAGTTCACTCCACCTGAAAAACGTTTTAAACAAATTGGCAGATTATGAAGAGGACAGAGTCAAACTAGCTCAACCTAATGTCAGTTTGAGCTACGATTACATACGCCATCGGATTGAAGTTGACAACTGTAGCAAAAGGATAGCGGCCCAGACAAAGAACATATAATTTCAGTCGGTTTCAAGGTATATTAGATACCCTTCTGGCGGAAACCTGGGGGATACTGTGGGCCCCGTTTTCTCTTGGTAAAGGAAAGAAATCTGCTCAAATATACACCTTTACAAAAACCGCTCCTAGGCCGCCTCCATGTTGCTGATGCTGATGCGGTTGGTGCGACTCTCGCGCCCTCTATCAGCTAGAAATTTTCTGCCACTCTCTGGGACTGTGAAGACCCGCTCGGCGCGGTTCTCTACCTACGTTTTTGCGGTTTTGCATTCGACGTTTTCTCGCCCCTTTTGAAAGTTTCCACTTAATCTTTTTTTATGCGTGCTGCGTACCCTTTCTGTGTTATCTTCCATTGTGAGAAATAAGGCTGGTAAGTGCCTGCCATTCAGCTTTTCTGCTCGACATTCACGGGAAACGAAAGACGTGAAGGACGTCGAACGACCCTCGACGCGATTTTGCGAACATTGTTCTCCCCCTCCCAGAGATAATCCGCGTAAAATCCTCAGCCATCTCCAAAAACAGTTGTCCGGGTTGGGGTGAGAAACGGGTCAGTCACGTTTGTTTCTTTGCCTTGGTGCGGTTGTGAAAAAAGGAAGCTCTCCCCAAGACGTGCCTTAAAACGAAGTCATCCCGGATTCCGTCCGATCGTCAAGATGTGACTGTCGTCCACTGTGACTGTGTTATTTGAGATCTTTCTCAAATAAATTCGTTTCGGATAACGCTGCATCGTGTGGTACGTACGAATGTTAACACTTCCTCAATTCTATGCCCGTGTCCTGTCCATTGGTAAACACGTTATTTGTGAGCGTGAAAAATGCATGCCTTTCGGCCCTCTTCTGTTGCAATTTATTTTTGACAGCAAAGCCCTTTGTCGTTTCACATGCGGCGAATCCCGCGGTGCCGTCAAAACTTATCGCAAGAAAAAAAACAAATAACTAGAACTATTCATTCCAGTCGCATTCGTTCTGTCGCGCGTGTACCCAACAAAAATAGTTTAGATTTTTTTTTTGCTTTTTTTTTTTTTTTAATGTGGCACAATGCTTTCTCAATGTCCTCGGGAACACACATGTACCATGAAACACAAAATATAGCTGGAAAAGACGAGAATTTAGCCGCCAGCGGCGTTTGAAACTGTACCTACGCAGGCTGCGCCTATTGAAATCACAGTCCACTCGGTTAGGGTTAGGAGGGACGCCGGTGAGAGTCTAGCCTCAAACTCAGTGACTGGGCTCACAAACGGTTTGGGACCCCTGGGGTCGAGTGTTTTTTTGGAAAGGTGTATACACCGAAAGTATGAAACGTTCAGGACGTCTTTTAGTGAAATTAACCGCACAAAAATTTCTCTACAATTGTTAGATAAAAAAAAAAAAAAAAAGTAAACGTTCAAATTCTAAACACGACATTTTGAATACACGAGAAAAGTAGACAACTTTCGGGGAGCAGGAATTAAAGTAAGCATAAGTTACGCAAGAGATGCGGTGTCTCGCGTGCTTCTATTTTCCTACCGTCTTTCGACGCAATTTGTGCTTCACGCTGTTGCTTTATGAACGCAAAATTACTATGGCAAGAAAAATAATGTGTGTATTTTACAGTTGAAACAAATATAAAACCGCTAGCCGAATGCTCAGTGGCAAAATGCACGTGCCGATTCGCTCTATTTCAGTTCGGTCCGAATTCACTCCTTTTAACGCTTGTTAAAAGAAATGCGGGCGTGGCTTCTTTTTTGTAAGGATTTAGGCCTACATTTGGCACTTTAAATGGCAGACACCGACGCAGACGACAGAGTTAACCGAATTTCGTGCTTATGGCACAATCTCCCGATAGGCGTAGCAAGCAGACGACGCCTCTCGGTCGAAAGCACGCAAAGCCGTCGTACCGATGCTACGTCTATCGGGAGCAGGCACCATAAGCACAACCCTCGGTGAACTCTGCCGGCTGGGTCGGCGTTTGCTGTTGCGGACGTGAAATTTCACAAGGTAAAATGCATCACTAAACTACACCTTTGATGATAATTTGAGCTCATTACATGCAGGCGCCAAGCTTCCCGGATGCTTTTACAGCGAACTTCTTGATTTGTGACACCTTATACCAGGGGTCTCAACCTTACTGGAGTTTTGAGGGCAGACTTTCTGACTCTCGAAAGATGAAGGGCCAACTTGGACAAAAAAGCGGGGCAAAAGCCGAAAAAAAAGCAAAAAAAAAAAAAAAAAAAAAATTGGAGGTTTACGTTGCGGGGTAGCTTCGCCCCAGACATCATCGACTTCGTACTTTGTGCTGATCGTAAACTTGCCTTTTTGCCAGTGACATCTTTAGCTTTGAGCAGTTTATGTGACTACTTTGGATAAATACCTGATGGGGAACAAAAACTAAAATGACGCAGCTCCGAGAACGTGCTGGCATTTTTCAATTGAACAAGAGGGCATACTGTCGCTTCCCTGTCGTTCATCTGACTCAAAAATTAAATCAAACTCAACGTCATTAAAAAAAATTCTTTATTTGACAATGTTATCTTAATAATATTTTAGGACCATTATAAGAATTAAGACTGGCGTTTGAGTGTTATTTTCTCGTCGCGTATCCATCATTTTAACTTACGACATGCAGCAGCGAAGGATAGGCTCAACCCTATAAGCTTTGACCATTAATTACTCCTTCTACGTAAACATTTATACATCCGAGGTGTGTCCTTGAGCAAGAGAGCAGTGCTTGTAGCCTAGTAGTGATATCGTCATACAGAAGATTAACGTGAGAAATATATGTCAATAAAACTGAAAACGAAACAACACTTAGAGGAAATGGAGGACTTGACTACACGAGGCTTTTACAAGCCATTTGCAGTACTCGGACGTGTGAACGGGGCTCGTAGCCTCGGGATGTCTGCGGACCGCGTGTTTGAGACCCCTATACTCTGTTTCATACTTAGCGTGCAACGCTGTCAAAGCTACTGGCGCGAGCGTGGAGCTTGATCTCGTTGATCATTTGCACGCGTTCTCGCGCAAACAAAACCATAGATGAAGCCAAGCTCTCGCGCCAGTAGCTTTGACAGCGTTGCACGCTAAGTATGAAACAGAGTATAGCTCAGTCGTCAACAAAGTGCAACGCGTGCACTGCCTTTGGCACCTCTCCGTAGTGATTAAAGAGGGGGATAATAAGCTCGGGCAATGAAGCTTGCTAAACTCGACTCGATGTGCCAGGAGAACTTTAAAAAAAATTGGCATAAATACGAGCGAAGTTGAAGTTACAAACACAAGCATGTTTCTCCTGAAGAGCTCTTAAACTGCACGAGATCGTATGAGTCGTAACGCGAGGATTGCCCTTTGGCTTCGCTTCGCACTTATGATGATGCGGAAAGCATCGAAAGCATCGAGGTTGGTCTTCCCCAGCGATATATACGTTGCACTAGGCTGAGTAATGCCCCCCCTCCCGAATTTCCCTCGAAAAGTACGAAAACCCTTCCCCCGATTGACAGTCATCGATAAACCCCTGGAGTTCTTCGTAGCTTGGAGACATTCATGATCTCTGTATGAACCACGTGTTTTTCCCCCTGCTCGCTTCTGGTGCTCACCTGAGCGACTCGATCTTGGAGAACTTTTTGCCCGGCGGCTTGCAGAAAGGCAGCTTTTCCCGGAGCAGGTCGAAGGCCCGATTCATGTCACGCATGCGGCTGCGTTCACGGTCGCAGGCATTCCGCTTCTGTTCTTCGCGGCTCAGGGTACTCGAGCTTCGGGCTGCAATGAGAGGAAGCAAATATGTAGTACATACGCGCGCCGGTCATACGTTGAGTTCGAAGGGAAACAAAGGCACGTGGGTGCATTTGGCGGGCAAAGAAACGCACGATGTGCGCGGGAAGCAGGCACCTTTCCAGCGCTTATCACCCAGGCAAAAAATAACTGCCGAGTCACTGGGCTCTGGACGCATGTGTGGCGTCCGATATTTCGCCGAAGCGAACTACCGCGCATGATCAGAACGTATTCCACAGCCCGGTAGATTAGCCTAGGGTGCCTTCATATATGAAGGCTCCCTAGATTAGCCAGAAAACGTTCTTTCATAGTCCCTTACCAACTTCGTCAAGGGACTCACGAAAAAAAAAAAAAAATAGACGAAGTTTTGCGTGGTGCTGCATGAAGCAGAGCACCAAACGATGATGATGTGCACTGACGACGCCCCGGGACGCCGCAACGCTGCGTCACGGGGCGCGCTGTGTGGTCCTTTGGGAAATTCGCGCGCCAAAACTGAATTCGCATTATACGGCACGACCAAATTCTCCATTTCGTTGAAGGCTCGTGAGGAGCCATCACCGTTTTGTTACGTATGTTGTATTGCACCTGAACACGATACGCATTTAGAACGGTTCCAATGCAAGAAACTGAACAATTATCGTAAGCGCCAGTCATTCATTCGTTCCTTCCAATGACCACGCGACATTAACCTAGAAAAAGGGGTGCTTAAAACCTAAATGTATTTAATGACACATAATAGATGCACACAATCATGATCAAATCGGGCACTTGGCAGGGGATCGGTGGCCCAGTGGGCTGGCGCGGGCCGTTCGGAGCACGTGGAGCGAGAGCTCGCGCTACAGGACCCAGGGATCCTGGGTTCAATACCCACCTATGCCCGTTTAGATCTGGATGCATGAGCGTCGTACCTGCTGGCGTTCGTGTATTAATATTGCGTGGTGCACTTTCAAGGCCCCCAGGCTAGCGGTTTTACTACACTGGTTAAATTTCTCATCTACAGCTGAGCCACCAGACGCCCATGGGTACTGACTAACTTCCGGCTGTGTAAACCTACACAACACAATTTTATTCGGACACTTGGCGAATAAAAAAGAAAGAACCTGTAAGCTCATGATCAGGCTGGATGAGGGAGAACCTCTGACCCCTGAAACCTATAGTACAGGTGCGGTTCACGAATTATCGAGTAAAAACACAAAAGTCAGATAGGATGGAACAATATCGCATCCACGCGTTTTAGCGCAGTGTATACACAGATCCAACGGAACGATATACTGCGACTGTTCTTCTGTTGGTTTTATTTTCGACGCGACGTCCCGTTCACCGTCCCGATGTTTCTACGAGCTGCGCGGTTGTGGAGCTGCGTGGGAAAGGGTCGTACTCTGTTCGGAGCAGCGTGGGCAGCTGTGGGGGCGGATCCCGCGGCGCGGCGGCAAAGCAAGATGGAGGCTGGAAACCGTACTCGAGGCTCGAGCCCGGCATGGCCGAGCTCCACGAAATGCGGCCGTACCGCTTGCGTCACGGTCCGTCGACTCTTTGTGCAAAGTCTGCCCCCCTCCCTCTCCCAAACTGTCTAGTTCTTTTGGTTCTTGTTTTCTATCGGAGGAAATGACCGTTTTGTGCCGAACCTGTATGCCAGTTGTTGCACTCCCGTTTGTTTGCTTCTTTATTTTTTTTTTCAGCTTTTGACGTTTTATTGCATTGTGTGCTGTTTTTTTTTTTTCTTCTCGCTAGTTAGAGCGATTTCTCGACAACTGCGCAGTAGACCTTGCGTCGATGTACGAGACCACGATCGTGTTTTAACGAGGCGTATAGGCTATACGCGTGCCGTATGTACTTGCCTGAGAGGTTAGTCGTATTTACTTATCTAAACTCCCGTTCGCCATACTGGGTCATTATGATACACTTATTAATAAACAAACACAAAAAAAACACGAAATCATCCTAAGCTCGGGTGTGTCCGCAGATGTAGCTCTTACAGTCGCCGACAGCTTGAGAAACCCAGGGCGTGGCCTTTTATGTGGATGCTTCCTGATTGGTTCTTGGAGGTTCGTAACGGCTACTGCCGCAATCTGATTGGCTGCCCGGTTATAATGAGATGCACGAGGCTCGTCACGTCCTGCCTTTCTTAATTAAAAACCGAGACAAGAAAAGCAAACGAGACGTGCATGCCTCTTCATTTGTTTCAATTGCTTCAGGCTTCATACCTAGGATTGCGGAAACCTGGAGCTCGCTAACGTACGCACCTACTTCTCTTTCAATGCTCACACGTGTGTTGACCAAGGAACGTGAAAGCATTTTTACTTTTAGTATCGTCGGAGCATTACAAGATTTTCTTCTTTCCAGCTTTTCTATGGACGCGAAGAATCTTGTACCCTGGATTCCATCTTTCCGAGGTTGGAACGGCTCTATAATTTGGACGAATTTTCGGCGGGCGCTGTTGGCCACAAACCAAGAATGCCACCGGCTAGGCCGCTCTCCCGCATCAGAGCAACAGCAGCAATCAAAAATACGCTACGACGAAGTTTATCGCAACGTTAGCTACTCCCCTGGAGATGAGGTCCTCGTCGTTTTCCCTCGCGCAAGGCTGGTTTATGCCAAAACGTTTCTACCACGCTACGTGGGGCCCCACCGCGTCGTCCAACAGACGTCAGCCGTCAACTACCTCGTCCAGCTCCTTAATCCACCAACTGACGGACGAACTTGCAATACCGACGTCGTCCACGTCACACAAATGAAGCCCTGCAGCCGCCATGAAAACGGCCAGGATGGCCTTTCCCCAGTAAAGTGGGGGGGGGGGGGGGGGGGGGGGGGGGCATATGTTAGAGGCGCCGGGCTAAGCGAGCCGGCCGGCACAGCACGCGGAACGAGCGCAGGAGGCTGGTTCCAGCCAGCGATAGCGCGGGATACTTGTTCGTCAAAGCACAAAGCCATGGTAGTTCGATGACGGAGCCATAGAGTGCCCGGTCGCAGATTTGGAGCGCGAGGATCTGGTAGAACAGAGCATTTCTCGGGGAACCTGGTATTCAGCGCACAGCTTTTGCATCGGCGGGGTTCCGAAACATGGTTTTCAAACCCGGCGAGAAAAGGAGCGGTAGCCCGAAGAACGCGAGAAGCACGAGCGTACATTCCATCGCTTGGGACAAGTGTGTTTCGGTGTCTCGCCGCAGCGGGGCGCCCGTTACATGACTCTTGTCTGCCGCTCTACCTTTTCACTGTCGGCGGCCGCGTCTCGTGGCGGTCTGCCAGGCTTTGTGAGCATAGAGGAGGCTATGATCAGAGCCGCCGTGGTCATGCAGAGCAAGCGCCCGAACGGTCACTTTGTCAGCCCCGTCTTTGCCTCGAGTGCCAACAGAGGACCGCAATAAGCGTCGTGACAATATTAATATTCGCATCACTATTAGGCTATAAGAATTATATTTACTATTGTTATTAGTAACACTGTTATTGCTACAATTTGTTGGGCGATTCCCCGTTTTTTTGTGATGTCTCTTCGCCGAGAACTGAAATTTGTATCACCGAATGAAAACGCTGGCACCTGAGAAAGTGAGGGAGAGGAGAAGACGAGAGGGGAAGTCAGAACGCCGAGCTCTGGTTGGAAGGATTAGTGGGTAGACCTAAAGATACCTTTGTCTCCACTGCATTTGTCGAACGCGTCCGAATGCTATAGGTCGTGTTCCGATCTCCCCGCGCGCTCCTTTCTCTTCCTGTTTTCCAGTTCCTCGGAGCATTCAGATATTACTAAAGCGTCTTCCATTTCATCCATGCTCGGGATTAGCCTGATATTTGCTGCAAGCTTCACGTGGGAGGAAAATAAACTTTCTGCTGGCGAGGGCTAGTTTGCAAACGAATGACTAACAAAACAGGGAAGAGCTTGGCGTGTTTCCGTGTTACCGCATTTCTCACCCTCAAACAAGACACGGTGTTTGCTGCGCACATACGTTGACAGAATTATCTCTACGAACCCGCGTCGAGCATCTTGGAAGCGCTTCGTACGAGCTTCGAACTGCGGACAGCTTTTGAGCGTGACAGGATCCGAGGAAGGCCTCGGATAGCGTCCGCATGACCGGATGGGGCGGCAGTCTGGCCTCGGTGTTCCAGCTGAAGGCTGAATATGTCGCTTTAAGGAACGCAGGCCGTGGCGACTGCCCAGCATCTATTATCGCTCTACCACCAATCGTATTGCGCGTGCCGATAAGATGATCGAATCGCCAAGCGAGATGCGCAATGACGAGAAGCCACGCCCTTGGCTGGGTCCAAGTGCGGCTTTAATTGATCTAGTAGATGCGCAGTGCGCGTCGGGACGAAAACGAGACAAATACAATTGCGGGCTCTAAGTCTGTGATTGTGCGAAGATTCAAAAAGGCAACGCAGATGGCGTTCAAATGTTTTACCTGGCCCTCGCGATTCGTTCGTCTTCGCTACCTCCCCGAATGTTACGCGAGGAGCCAAGTAGAAATGTAGCTTTGTCAGGTATGTACGCCCGCTTATTAAGATTGATTTCGCATTCGTATCCGGTGTGAAACGAATTATCGATTGCTTGACCGATTCATTTACCTTCCTGAGATATTCGCTCCGCCGCACTTTGTTCAGGCGATGAGCATTGCGTGTGCTCCGGTGAAAAATGTATTGACGTGGGTTGTGTGAGTTAGCTCTGATTTACTCTCTCCGATCGATGGAAATTGTGTATTTTAAGAATTTCGAGGTGAAGGCACCGAGCGAAGCATGATATAACCTCGCCATTTGGGTATATACATGCCTCAAACTACACTCTAAAAAAAGCCCGTGCGTCTTCTTTCCCGCGCAACACTCGGAGGGCCAATCAGCGCAACTTACGGAGGCAGCTCAGCGAATGACGATGTCGAAACATATGTTTAGACCAAGAAACGCAGTCTGAGTTGGGACATTAAAGGGGTACTCCGGCGATTTCTTCATGGTCTCCGATTTGCTCGAAATTTGGCTAAACTCTCCAAATAACATTGCTAAAACAG